ATATTCATTTTATTGTGGTCTGGAACCGATCCCACATTATCTTTGAGGCATTCCTGTACCCAGCAAGAGGCCTGGATAATCTCAGATGGGGAATATACTATGAGAACTCTACAGTTTATTGGTAAGGTCATAGTCAGTTTTAGAACCTCAACTGCAGGAAGGTGTCCAGACAGGGTGAAGGAACACGTGCACTCTCCTATTTCACAGACTTCAAACACACTGTTCCAATATAAACAGTTTTAAATGGAAATTGCGATCAAGGATATTAAAATGCTGTTGCACGTTGGCACCAGTAGGCATAAATGAAACAAACTGGTACTTACAAGCTTGTTAAAATTAGTCTGGAAGACTGGTGGTTTCTTATTCCTGCTATAGAAAGAAGGATCTGTACCTATGTCACATGAGGTAGAAACAAGGAGACTGACCTGACATTTTCTAACTCATTCCTATTTTTTTGAAGCATCCCCCTAAATAGTACAATTATACCAGTGAAAATAAATATTTTTGTATTTTTCCAAAAGCTTGCTATAGCTTTAGTAATATATACTGATTTTTGTCATGTTCTAAAGGCTGATAACAGCCAAGTTATTTGCAGAGTTCTTATTTTGTGCTGGTCATTTTCAGTCTGTGAGCCTTAGGTAATTTGCTTAATCTCCCTGGTATGTCATTTTCCTTATCATTAAAATCAGAGTATGGTAGCGATTCATCTACTCAGATCTATCTAGCAACAATATCAACAGGAGATGACTCACGAAAATAAACAACTTTTCTAACAAAAAGCAGCACAAGCAATTCTAATCAGTGCTATTAAAGAAAAACAGTGGAAAACCTCCTCCTTGGACTTGAGTATATGGGGCAAAAAGCCTTCCGTTTACCAAATCCTGAACATTAGAAGCAATTTTGTCTAGAAGTGATAGGACTGCAATATAAGCAAGAAATGACCCGGTGAAAAAGAATGGGTTGTTGGCAAATCCTCACCCTTGAGGGCAAATCTCTGGGAGTTGCAGTTCTTTATTTCACTCAGCCATAGATTCTGCAAGGTTCTACGAAAGGCACTGGTAACCTAGCACAATCCCGCAGTGTTTGAGAATACTTGGCCATGTTGGTGCTAACTCACAATGCTGTGTGTCTCTGATTGAAGGCAACAGGTCCTGCAGTGACTGTGCCTAATCACAGGCAGGAACTCCTGTTCTGAACCTTTTGCTCTCTCTCCCTGCAATAGGACAACTGGTAGAACTGTACATCTGTCCTATGACAAACCACACACCATGAGGCTCTAGTTGATTAGACACAATTAAATCCTTACATCAACATGTAATGAGAGAAGAGGGAAAGTTGCCTGGGAATTGGGAATAACAAACAGCTTCTTCTCTTAATCAAGATATTATTACGTCTAAAGAAAGTATGCATCAGATGAAGAAGGTGCTGGTATACAAAAAAGAGGTTCAGAGCAATAAAGAGTTAGTGATGCTATATCCTCCAGTGTCTAGGTACAAAAGACACACTCTGGTAGATGAGAGTGTTCCTGTTGCTTTAAGAGTTTCCTGCTGAAGGCCTGGGATGCCCTAACAAGGTCTTGACACTACTCAGACCTCTTAACTCACAAAGGCAGATAAAGTAGATTAGCTTGCTCAGCCTTGGTTGCAACTTTCTAACTTAAGGGCTAGGAAGTTTAAAAACTACATTTCTCAGACTCTTGCAGCTAGGGTTCCAGATGTGATTTTTAAAATGCCCATCAGAAGCATCTGTGTGTCATTCAAATCAGAATCCGAGTTGAATGGAGGCAAGAGTGGTAGTAATAGGAACTGTGTTATTTTGCTGGTGTAGACTTAGTAGGAGCAGCACAGGTCTGGAAGTAACAGTTACAACAGCTGTTTCCTGATGACCAAGTACAGCTAGTTAGGCTTCCTGATTCCCTGGATCCTTAGTGAGCTGGGTGATTGGTGTTTTTCTGGAGATCACTAGGCCCAGTTTAGAACTCATCCATCAAAGGTGAAAATTAAACACTGCGGTGACACAACCAGCAGTTTGACCTACAGAGAATCAGAGAGAGTAGGCAAGAAGCAATAGGGAATGGGGGGGGGATAGAATATGTTCAGTACCTTTATTTCAACTATGGGTTGGTGTTTAGGATGCTGCAAGTCAGTATGAACAGGTAGACTGTCTTGGCCTAAAAGTGTGGACATTTGCAAGTAAGTATATGATTTGTACTACATTGATTTTAAAAAGGTTTTATACTCTCAACTTTAACAATTTTAGGAGTCAGAAAAATACTGTAAGTGCCATATGCATCTGGACACAAAACAGATGCTGCAGGAATACGATGGCAGTGATATGAATAACTTCACATGAACCTCCCACCTGTTCAGTTCTGTAATTTCAGACTCTCTGTAATGTGTTTCACACCAGTAGTTCTCAAAAGGCAGACATAACAAGGAAAGCAACATAAAGCATTTAAAATAAAAAGCTCATCACACATACATATCCTTAAAGACATACATATAATGCTACAGGCAGTGCTGAAATGTTTTTTGCGTTCTATTTTTTTTTTTTTTTTTTGAGTTGGAGTCTCACTCTGTCGCCCAGACTGGAGTGCAGTGGCCGCTTCCGGCCACCGCAGCCTCGACCTGCTGGGCTCCGGCGATCCTTCCGCCTCAGCCTTCCAAGTAGCTGGAACTACAGGCGCGCGCTACCACACCTGGCTAATTTTTTGATTTATTGTAGAGATGAGGTCTCACCAAGTTGCCCAGGCGGGTCTTGAACCCACGGGCTCAGGCAATCCACTCACCTCAGCCTCCCAAGGTGCGGGATTACAGGCTGAGCCACCAAGCCAGGCTGTTTTTTGCATTCTAAAATCAGATAAAATAAAACCAGCAGCCAATGTGTAAGTCAGTTCTATAAACATTGTATAGTTAACGATCAGAGAAAGGAAGGTTTGCTGGAAAGTTTGAGGTTTGTCTCTCCATGTCCAAATTAATATATATATTTAGCTCTATTTCAAATGTCTTCTTTAACTGGGGCTATCAGCATCCATTAGTATATGGCATTCAATTAGATGTGTTAAGATGTTATAGATTATGAATCAGTGTTGAGACTACCGTTAAGATAATAGTTGAAAGTGCTGACCCATGTTTTCAGTGCCTAAGCTCTTACTGGAACAGAAAAGAAAAAGGAGTATTTTACAATGGAGGCGCAAAGAGGATCTTAATAAATAAATTTGATCTTTGTTATTCTATGTGTCACATATTAGCCAGAGTTTGGTTTCCAGCCAAAGCATGCTAAATGTTTGAATACCAATGTAACTTATTGGAAAGTCTGTCTACCTTACATTACACTTTATCTAGGAGCAACTCATATCTCTAAAAATAGTGTCCAAAAAAATTGGATTGTCTGTTCTCTGATTCATTTGGTGACCCTTCATAGGTACAACCATGGCAAAAGAGAAATATTGCTGAGGACACCTGTAAATAACTGCCTCTGTGAGCTGCATGTGTCGAAGTATTGTTCGCTCAAGAGTAAGAGACTTGGTACAGTTTTTTCCCCACCTTCCTTGAACCTGAACTCTACACTACTCCCCAGACTTATACAATGAAACTGGAAATGCATTTATTTTTGAAACTGAACATTTTAATTCTATGTTGGAGTGTATATGTCAATTAGACATTTAAAAGATTGCACTTAAAGAAAATTATAACTGCCTCATTACATTAATGATGCTATACAAAGTAAATTATGTAAATATAATGTTGAGGTTCCTATATAGGAATTATATTCTTTAGGATTATGTCTGTTCTATTTAGAAATAAACAGAATTTGCTATTGTTATAAGATTAGCCCATACTTATTAAATATTGGCTCATATAGAAATGTATAAAGAAGAAAGCTCAACCATAATTTTGGTGTGGTTGCTTTCTTCCCACCCCCACAAAAGTTAGACTGTATCAGAGCTGTAGAGACTGTTTCAATAATGGCATCCAACGAATCATGCCTCTTGTATCCAAGCCATTGGGTAGTACTCTGATCTCTCTACATTGATGCTGGCTTGGCCTTATATTACCTCGGCTGATAGGACATTAGTGAATTTGATGCAATCATAGGTTTAAAAAATACCTATTGTACTGGAGTTTGTCCTCTCTTACTTCTCTTTGGAACTCTGAAATACTGTGAAGAATGCTGGGCTAGCCAATTGGAAGACGAGAGACTGTGTGGAGCAGAGAAGTCTTTCCAGTTGAGCTTCACAGTCTCAACAAGGCTATTAACTGCCAGACTATGTAGCCCCAGTGGAGCTACCAGTTCACTAAAGAGATCAGCTAAGCCAGTCCATGCCTGAAGAACATTTTAGTTAACCCAGAGGATGATAAGAAATGATAAATATGAGAAATAAGGCTTATTGTTTTAAGCCAATACATTTTGAGGCAGATTTTTATATAGTAAAAGCTAACTGATACAACATTCTCAGAGGTTTTGTGTGTGTGTGTGGGTGTGAAAGCAGGATTTATTGAGAGGACAGAAAAGCTTCCACAGTGGGAGGGGACCTGAGAAGGCTGCCTATCATCCTCAGAGTTTTATTTATTCATTTATTTTTTTGAGTTGGAGTCTCACTTTGCTGCCCAGACTGGAGTGCAGTGGCACACTCCCGGCTACCGTAGCCTCGACCTGCTGGGCTCTCGATCCTTCCGCCTCAGCCTTCCAAGTAGCTGGAACTACAGGCATGCGCTACCACATCCGACTGATTTTTCTTTTTTTAAAATTTATTGTAGGACGAGGTCTTGCCAAGTTGCCCAGGCGGCTCTTGAACCTGCAGGTTCAGGCAATCCACTTGCCTAGGCCTCCCAAAGTGCTGGGATTACAGGCTGAGCCACTGAGCCTGGCCCATCCTCAGAGTTTTAAATGAATTTCTAGGAAAGTTGAAGCTTGGGCAATCCTAGGTACTAGAAGTTTTATATAAAATGATACAATTCTGTTAAATTGAGTTCATGAAAAAAATACAAATAACTTACCCCATACTCCCATAAATACAGCAAAGATCAGGGTTCCAAAACTGTCAAAGATGCACAATTTCTGGAAAATATAGTAATGGCATATAAATGAAACATACTCTCCACTTATCAGAATTCAGTATAAAGTGCTTTGTCTGTAGACCACTCATGTACTTAGTCCTATCTTGTACCCCACATCTTTAAAAACAAATGCTTTGTTTACAGTTTGAGGTTCTTTTTAAAGCTGATACCTAGTTTAACAATCATCTTCTTTATAATCACAGATGAACTTTCTCATTCTTTTAAAAGCAAACAGTCTTTGCTGTATTAACCAGAGTGTATCTTCCAATGGAATGTTCCATATCACAAAACAGGTAAGACAGCTCCGAAGATTTGACTCAGTTTAAATCCTCTATTGGACTTGAGTAACAGCCTCTTTTTTTGTTGTTGTTTTTCGTTTTGTTTTGAGTTGGAGTCTCACTCTGTTGCCCAGACTGGAGTGCAGTGGCACACTCATGTCTACCACAGCCTCGACCTGATGGGCTCAGGTGACCCTTCTGCCTCAGTCTCCCAAGTAGCTGGGACTACAGGTGCACGACACCTTGCCTGACTAATTTTTTTATTTATTGTAGAGACGAGGTCTCACCAAGTTGCCCAGGCTGGTCTCGAACCTGTGGGCTCAGGCAATCCTTTCACCTCAGCATCCCAAAGTGCTAGGATTATAGGCGTGAGCCATTGTGCCCAGCAACAGCCTCTTTTTATGTGCTGTCATAGTGAATTTGAGGAAGAAGTATGACTCTAAGAATACAATAACCCCTAAGTAATTTTTAGATTTATGATTTGCATCTTATTATCATCCTACTCTTATCAGAGTGTAAGTTTCAGAATTTCTGTTTTTCCTGTTAAGAGAAGTACAACAGCTCCTCCAGGAGAGTTGTTTCTTCAAACCCAGTGATGGCTTCCCTACTGTCATAACAGAAGCTTCCACTGGAATAACTTTGCTTTTGCTAACATTATAATGGGTACAAAGATCAATAAATGATAAAGTATGAGGGGGGGCCCCCAAAAAAACAAGAATTATTTTTTGGGGGGCAGGCCCCTTGTACCACAGGCTTCGTCTGCTAGGTAAGTGTTCTAGGGACCCACTGGCATCAGTGTACTAGCTAGCATTGTTGTGAGGCTGTGTTTGGCTTTAGTGAATTTTTTTTTAGTCTTTCAATGTGTTGTGTTTGCCCATTTCATAATGGGTGATTTACGAGTACACCTGCCCACACAGAGCTGAATGTTGAGCAGTTTTTGACCAAAAATGACATGGACCCTATGCCCTACCCTTCCTATTCACCCAACCTTGCCCCAAGCAACTTTTAATTTTTGTTTCCCCAGATGAAAAAAGTCCTCAAGGGGAAATGTTTGCCACTGTGGAAGAAGTGAAACAAAAAAACAGCAGAAGCTCTAAAAGGTATCAAAGGTGACGAGTTCAAAAAACTGTTTTGAGCAGTGGAAAAAGCCTCTTAATAGATGTATTGTATGAAATGGAGAGTACTTTGAAGGTGACTGACGTTTAAACAGTAAGAATAAATACACAATTTTCTATAAATAAATTCTGAGTTTTTTTGGGTCTCCATTGTATCTAGCCAAAGAAGGTTTCTATTCACTAGTTCTGGTAAGTTTTATCTCCTTGCTAGGATATACAAGTAGCCTATCTCCCTGTATGATTCCCTGGAAAATCTTTCGATTAGTTACTAATTTTTCAATAGTGAACAATTTTATGTTTCCTAAAAAAAAAAATCTATAATGACAATGGAAAAAGTGGCAAGCATATTTTAACTATTTTATGATAGATCATATGAATAGTAAAGACAGGGACTGGGTAGAAAAAGAAGCTATAGGTGGGGAAAAAAAACTTTTCAAGTTCTAAAGAAAATCCAAAACTACTTCTAAGTAAGAAGTCTACTTTGCTTTAGTAATTCTGGGGATTCCCCTTTACACTCATGTAAAGTGGGTAAACTTTCACCTACATACAAACATTAGCTATACTGTTTCATAAAAGAACACCCACATTGCCAGTTTCTCTTCCATCTGGTTTCCAAAGCATATAGATGCTCCCTCAGGCAACCACATTGATTTTGATCAGAAAGAGTGTACATCCCAAGTCGTCTGTCACCCAATTATTCTTCACAAAAATCCAGCTCAGGCAGAAGAGAGTTAATAAACGCATGACTGCTCTGGGGAACAACATTCTCCATCTATTTCTTTAGTCTGGGGATTCCACAGACCACATATTTCAAACTTTTAGCGTTGATTCTTATGAAATCATCCTCTCCAAGTTTTCTTTTAATGGTATGCCATATCATTTGGTAGAAATTATTATAACCAGCTTGGGCAACAATGAGACCATGTCTCTGCCAAAAAAAAATTGTTGCTGGGCGTGGTGATGCATGCCTCTAGTTCCAGCTACCAGGAAGTCGAGGCTGCAGTGAGCTGTGACTACGCCTCTGCGCTTCAGCCCTGGTGAAAGAGTGAGACCCTGACCCAAGGGGGAAAAAATTATTTTAAGAAAAGTTCCACAAAAAACAATTCTGCCATTTTGTAATGCTACTTATTATTGAAGACTCTGTCCAACGCCACTTCCGTTTTAGCAATCAATGTAAGTGTCTCTCTATTTGATACCATCTTGATTGCCCTGACTTCTACCCACTCAACCCACAAAGAATTATCATCTGTGAATTCCTAGCTCTATTCTTTTGAGAAAAAGTCAATGAAAACACGTATGTCAACGCTGGAGAAAAAAACAAAACAAAACAAAAAACCGGGAGCATCAAGAAAAAGCAAGTTTACTGCCAACACCAAGATCACCCCAGCTGCCTAGCTCCAGGTGAGGGACGTGCCTTGAACTCCTATGAGAAGAACTTAGGCCTGGATGAAGTTAGCACTCTTGCCACATGTGTGAGAAGCAAGGGATGAGAAAGAACAAGATGGCTGGCTTCTTTGCTCTGTGTTCCATGAACTACATGGAAGCAGAAAGTAGAGAAGAAAATAAGCAAGCAGCTTTCTTGGTAAGAAGCCTAGCTTAGCATGTTTGGCAGGATTGCACAGAGAGGGCAAGCCAGCCGTGTCCAAAGCTGCCAGAGTTAGAATACTGCTTTAGTCACATGGAGCAGGAAAGAAACAAGAGTTGCATATGTAAGCATAGCGGTTTTTTGTGTTTTTTTGAGTTGGGGGTCTCACTCTGACCCCCAGCCTGGAGTGCAGGGGCATAATTACAGCTTACCATGGCCTTGACTTTCTGGGCTCAGGGTGATTCTGCCAGCTCAGCCTCCTGAGTAGCTGGGACTACAGGCATGTGCCACAACACCTGGCTAATTTTTTCTTTTTTTTGTAGAGACGAGGTCTTGCTATGTTGCCTAGGTTGGACTTGAACTTCTGGGCTCAAGCTATCCTCCTGCCTTGGCCTCTCAAGTGCTGGGATTACAGACGTGAGTCATGCCCGGTTTGATTTTAAGCAGAGAAACCAATACGAATCTTGTTCCATTTGTTATAATAGTGTTGTTTCTATGATCAAAATATTAAAATTTATAATGTTTCCCTTTTATCTTGCTAGCTAAAAAACCAGGAACCTTATTCAGTTCTCAATCACAGAACACTATCAATCCCTATTATTTGCATAACTGTTTCTTTATTTCCCTGGTCCTGATTTTATATTTCTAATTCATTAACTCTTTTAGCATACATATACATTAGTGAGTACTCTTATCTCTTTCCAAAAGAAAGAGGTAGAAATGAATATATCAATAGATAAGTGTATAAGAAACAACTAAATTAACCAACAAACAAAAGCTAGAAAAGTTTTTCAAACTTTTTCCCCCCATTTCATCACTTTATTCATATTCTTTTATGTTTTCTTGCCTTTGTAAATCACACTGACAAGACCCAAGGGATCCTTCAAGAAACTGGAATAGAATCAAACATTCAATTTTTTTCTCCAAAATAATGAAGGAAAAAAAAAAAAGCTCACAGGGGCATGTTTGAAAGTCATGTTCTTAAGGATGGGCAGGTGGATCAGAAGAAATGAGGGAAGAGATGGGGATGGGGGAGCATGAGGGAGAAAACTTAAGGATAATGGAATTTCCTCTTGTACTTTTGTGGAATATAATTTGCCTCTTGCATTATCATTGGCATTCGCCTTAAATCCAATGCCTTAGGATGCAAGCTAACTAGTGACCTTTAACTTATGAGTCAAATCTCTGGAAACAGCTTCCCTCTTACTAACTTCAAGTCTTTTACTCTGTGTGATCTACATCAGACATTTATAATTTAGAATTTTTATTGGTTTGGGGAGGAAGGGAATGAAATCTATTTTAATTCCGAAATTAAATATAAAAATCCATGTGATGACAATATTCTGTAATCAGCTTAACTAAGTGGTGGAACAATTTTTCTAACACAGCTGGATTTGAGAGGGAAGTACCTGGTACCACCATCAGGTGGTGAAGAATCTGATAATAGCAAGAAAGGCAGATTTGTTATAAATTTCTGGCTCTGCCAGTTACTAGCAGTTGACCTTGAGCAGATATCTGACCTCTTAGATCCTAAGTATTTTTATCTGTGAAATGGAGATAATGCCTGTTCTGCCTATCTCACAGGGTTATTGTGTTTGTCCAAAGTGATAAATACAAGAACTTGGCAAAACATAAAATATAAAGTGGTGTTTATAATGGCAATACGTTCAGTTAAAATCAGACTGACACAGAGTAGATCAGAATGTTCTAGGGTCATTAAAGATCCCTAAACTCTCATGGTAGAACAAGGGGATAGAGAGGAAGATCACAACGGGGGTAAGTGTAGATCAAAGTTGCCAGGAAGACATTCTCACATAAGCGGGCCATCTTTCTTCCTGTCTGGAGTTTCTAGCTGCCTGCTTTCAGTAAGCATCCTCCATTCTCAATTTTTGTGCTAAACCTTCTAGATTTTAAGAAGTCTTAGAGCTCAAGATCATAAGGATGCATAAGGAGAGCCAGATGTGTTTTAGGGGACTGTTTTGAGACAAATACCTTTTATCACTTATATACAAAACCTTTTTATGCATGTTTGTGGTCTAAAGCTGACGAGCAGGGTCTTCAAAAATACAACCATAGTAACAACACACTTTGAAAGAGGGAAAACACAAATTTAAATTTCAGGTTTCTACTCACTTGAATTTAAAAAAAAAATTTATGTAAGTTGAATATCCAAAATTTGAAATGCTCCAAAATCCAAAACCTTTTGAGCACCAATATCATGTTCAATGGAAACATTTCAGATTTTGGATTTTTGGATTAGATATGCTCAGTCACTAAATGTAATGCAAACATCCTCGAATCTGAAAAAATCCAAAACACGTATTCTTTATTTCAGATAAGGAATACTGCTACAATCTGTAACAGTAAATCTACTTAAAAGTATCCATAAAATAAACTGAATTTGAGATTTCTGTTTTGATTACTTGAAGTACTCAAATAGTTTAGACTTCACCATTTCTTCACCTACCTTCTGTGAGGTTTTAGATAAAGCTTATTAATTGCAATTTATTATATGTAATAGAGGAATAAAAGTCATGGCATATTACTGTCTAGAATGTTAGGAAATTTAGTTGAAAAATACCTTTCTGAATTCCTTAGAATAAAAAACGATATAATTTATATCTAATACCTAAATTAATATTAGAGGAAGTGTCTTTCATTATGTGTAAATATTTGGAATAACACAAATTACCTTTGATGACTCACAAGTAATATTGAGTTTCCAGAATGGACAAAGCCTATCACATTGAGGACACATTATAATCTTGCCACCAATATCAGGATGACAAACTTCTTTGCTAAAAAGAAAAAAGGAGAGAAAGAAATAAAGCTTAATTTAAAAAAATTTAATTAATTTAATGCAGCATGATAAAACCCAATATCAATTCATGATAATAAACAAAACTAATCTTATCAAATTAGGAACAGACGTGACCTTCATTAACGTGATAAAGGCTTGCTACATAAAAGCCATAAAAACTCATACTTAACGGTAAAATGCTGAAAGTATTTCTTTTAAATCAGGAATAAAACAAAGGGTCCCACTACCACCACTTCTTTTTAGTTGGCGATCTCTACCATCATATTAAGTCAAGAAAAATAAAGCCATGAGACTTGGCTAGGAAGAAAGAAAAGTGTTATTACCAACAGATTACGTAATTGCCTATGTAAATGACTTAGCAGAACCTAAAGATAAATTATCATAATTAAGTTTAATAAAGTGCAGTGGCCGAGTGCAGTGGCTCAAGCCTGTAATCCCAGCACTTTGGGAGGCCGAGGCAAGAGGACTGCCTAAGCTCAGGGGTTCGAGACTAGCCTGAGCAACTTGGTGAGACCTCGTCTCTACAATAAATCAAAAAATAAGCCGGACGTAGTAACATGCGTCTGTAGTTCCAGCTACATGGAAGGCTGAGGCGGAGGGATTGTCTGAGCCCAGCAGGTTGAGGCTGCAATGACCATGAGCATGCCATTGCACTCTAGTCTGGGTGACAAAATGAGACTCCAACTCAAAAAATAAAATAAAAAATAAAGTTTTCTGGCTACAAAATCAATATAAAAAAATACACACAGGGTCCCAAGATGGAACTGTGCAATAATTAGGAAATAATTTTTTAAAAATTACATTCAACAGCATTTCATTCTATTCAATACAATTCAGTGGTAAGAATGATATTGAACGGTGAATGGTACCATTCAATGCCATTTCAAAAGCTTAAAAAATATAAAGTATCTAGGAATAAATCTAATTCAAAATCTATTAAGATTTATATGAAGATTATATGAAGAAAATTATAGAATTTTTCTGAAAGACAGTGAGGAAGACCTCCACTATCACATTTATAATTTGGAAGAATGAATGTATCAAGATCAGAACAGTTAAAACACTTCTGAAGAACAAGACATTATGGCATAAGTTAAGAAAAACTGATGAACAGAAAAAAAGTGTGTAGAAACAGACTGCTTCCTATACAAAAACTGACTTATGATCGAGCTGGCTGAGCAAATTCATAAGGTAAGAACTGACAATTCATGAAATAGAACTGGAACATCAAGATTTCCATATGGAAAAACACAAAACTGAGCCCCTAATCATAACATATATTAAATCAATGCCAGGTGGAAAATAAGAATGCTGATAGTATCAACTTATGAGAAAAAACATCTATATAACCTCAGAGTGAGGAGAATTTCATAAATGAGAAACCAAAAAGTGTAAACCATAAAGAAAAATACCAACACGTTCAAGATGTTTTAAAAGTGAGAATGTCACTAAAAGATAACATTAAAAGGAGAAAAAAATTAGCCACAAATTGGCAAAAGTTTTGCCAACACATTAAAAAAAGGATTATTTGCCAGTTATTTAAAGCACTCCTACAAATGCATATACAAAAACAAGGCAACGAGGTTGCACACTGCTCCCTCTGGGGGAAGTCATTCAGATAGACTTGTATGTGATTGGGACCGGAGTTGTGCAGTTAGGTGGCCTTGCAAGTAACTCAGTAAAAATAAATGGGCATGGGAAGCATTTCTGCAATAGCTGAGTAGCGATCTCAGAGGACATGCTCCTCCATAAAAGCAATAAGAACACTAACAAAAACTGTCAAAATCAACCTGTGCAGAACCCTGGAAATTAACCAAATGCTTACAGTGATCTGAGGAGCATTTATTTGAGAAAAATTGACTAACTCTCTATAAGAATAGTGAGTTTTGTGGCATTTTAACTTGATCTATTTCCATCCTTTCTCCCTCACTTTATGGTAGCCTTACAAACTAACACCCTTACAACCATGGTAGCTGTGAGAAATAGCAGCCTAGCGGCCACTGAAAAAAACAAAAATAGTTTGAAGTTACCCCAAAACTCCATACTCAGAAATTTCTATGAGACCTAACAGCTCCTTGGAAAAGCTCCAAGCTCAGGATTTGTCATTTTTTTACCTTATACTCAGAGCTCATACTGTGCAAACAGTCCTGTTGCCAAAGTGACTGTTGAAAGCAACAGGCAGGAATTATTTAATATTGTAGCTGCCTGAGGCAGTGATATCAACAGAGGTTAACAAAAGGTTAACCAAAAAACTTAAAAGGAAAAATTAGGAAATGAGATGTCTACAAGCGGATTTTAAAAGCTCCAATATATTCTTGAGACTGCAGAAGGCCATGTGCATGTGTAGGACAGTACATAAGGCAGGGAAAGACCTGAGAAAACCTTAATCCTTTACCTCTGGCTGACCTCGAGTTTCTGCATAAGCAAGATGGAAAGGCTAAGGAAGAGCTGAAAATCGATTGCTGGAGTATTAAACATTCCCCTACACACACTCACACAGAGCCACTCAGCAAAGGCAGAGAAACAACTACTGGTACTAGGCATTTAATGAAATCACTAGCTGATCCAATCATTTGCTAACAACTAAACTTACAGAACACATACTTCAGTGGTCACACATAACAAAGAATACAGACTTTACAGAATTAGTTTGGAAAAGTAACTGAAGAAACAAGTAGCAGCCATGGCAGTGACAATAACAACAAACAGAAGCAATGACAAACCCTGGAGAGGGGAAAGATCTAATTTCCAGATTTGCTACATTCTAATATTTAAAATGCCCAGTTCTCAACATAAAATCACAAGACACACCAACAGAAAAATATGGCCTTAACAGTCATCAAAAACTGTTCCTGAGGACACCTAGATATTGTACTTATTAGACAAAGACTTTAAATTAGCAATTATACATATTTCAAGAACTAAAAGAAACCATGTCTAAAGAATTAAAGATGTGAATAATGTTTCAATAGAGAATATCGATAATGAGATGGGAATTATTAAAAAGAACCAATTAGAAATGCTAGAGGATCAGAGTACAATAACTAAAATGAAAAAATTGACTAGAGGGGCTCCACTGCAGATATGAAATGACAGAAGAAAGGATCAGCAAACTAAAAGCTAGACTGATTAAGATTATCCAGTTTAGAAATAGAAAGAAAAAGGAATGAAGAAAAATGAACTCAAGTCTCAGAGATTAGTGAAAAGAATCATAAGGAAATAAAAAGAATAATTATATACCAACATATTAGATTACCTAATGAAATGGGTAAATCCCTAGAAAGTTATAAACTACTAAAGCTAATTCGAGAAAAAATAGGAAACCTAAATAGACCTATAACAAGAGATTGAACTAGTAGAAAAAAAAATCTTGCAAAGAAAAGCCCAGGCTCAGTGGCTTCACTGGTAAATTCTATCAACCAATTAAAGAAGAATTAGCACTAATGCTTCATAAAATCTTACAAAACTACAGAGAACACTTCTCAATTCACTCTACAAAACGAGTATTACATTGATAACAAAACCAGACAAAGACAACAAAGAAAACTATAGACTCATACCTCTTATGAATAGAGATAAAAATCCTCAAGAAAATACTAGTGAACTAAAATCAGCAACATATAAAAAGTATCATACACTATGATCAAGTAGTGTGTTCAGTAATGTAAAGATGATACAACATACAAAAAAAAATCAATCCATGTAATAATACCATATTAATGGAATGATGGACAAAAATCACACATAAGATAATGACAATAGACATAGAAAGAGCATATGGCAAAAATCCAATATCCTTTCAAGATTAAAACAAAACAAAACAAAACAAAACTAGAAAACTAGGAATAGAACTTTCCCAACTTGAGAAAAAGCATTACTAAAAAACTCACAGTTGGGCAACCCTCTCGGGTCCCCCCCACCCCAACTGTGGGAGCTTTTCTGTCCTCTTAATAAATCCTGCTTTCTCACTTAAAAAAAAAAAAAAAGAACCTCACAGTCAATATTACACCTAATGGTGAAAGACAAGATCAGCATTATATTGGAGGTTCAAGCAACTAGGCAGGAAAGGAAAGGAAAGGAAAGGAGAGGGGA